TAACAATCGCGATCTTCAGCTACTGCGCAAACAGAAGTTCGAAATAACAGGAATCCTTTTGGAGCTACACGCAACAGTAACCCGAAAGGGACGCATAGCTATCGTCATAGCAAAGAACTCAGATCGCGGTGAGCCGCAAGGAGAGCTCATTATTTATTAAGGCCATAGCGGGAGGTGTGTATAAATGGAATTGAACATTCATGCCCTATAATTTGAAAGTGTTCACGATAAAGTTTGGTGGTAGCTTAAAATGAGACACTTTGAGTGCATTATACATACATATTTCTTTTTAAGGAAAATCAATTCGCAGGTGGTAGGGCTTTTATGAACTAGGACAATGCTGCGTGTGTTTTCAAGTTAATTAAGTAGTTACTATGTTTCGAAGCATTTCAATCTCCTTGTTACAAAACTCAGAGCGCGAAACGCTAAGTGTCTTGCTCTTTTGACGAAAGAATTGTCCGTTTAACATGAGAAAAAAATTGGTCAGAAGTCATGAAAGGGGTGACTTTTAGAGACGTAAAGTTAGTCTTACGTAAATGCTTAATATTTCATACTTCATTGTACAGATAACATGTAGGAGCCCATACGCAAAGTCTCTTACTCCTTTAAATAAAGAACCATTCGGTCACAGAAAAAAATTATTTTAGCATGAAAGGGGTGATTATGGCCGTAAATTTCAAAGACCATAAAAAGGTATAATTACTGAAAAGGGAAAATGTTCGGGACCTGATTTGGTGCACGTTTTGAAAGCTAATTAACCGAACACGTTCCGATCTACACAAATTTTTTTTTGTCTCAAGTTAGCCCTTTCACTCCCAAGATCGCAATTAGTAATTCTCCTTACTGCCTGCCAAATGATTCTCATGATGTTCAATCAGTAATCCCATAATTGATGTTTTTCTTTATTCTCATCACTTGTATGCATGATATTGTATAAACATAGTGAGGAGAAATTCTATCTTGGTCACTCACGGGAGTTAAAGGGTTCAACTAAAAAGAGTCAAGAGCTGTAAGAAAATAGGAAATCAGTGCAGGGATAGCTCTAAGTAAGGTCTTTTTTCAGTGAAAGAAAGAATAGAGTACAGAGGAAATAAACACTTAGACACAGAAACAAAATCCACCATGACACTGGTGACGCAATTATGTTAATGTACGAGTCACGATGAATGTGCATTTTTGTCAGGCATTTTTGATGATAATTGTAATAATTATAATTATAATGACTTACAAATTGCACGAGGTCTGTAAAAAATACTAACAGATATGCATGTTATCTTCATTCAATACAATACTCATTGGAAATACTTTGTCGTTACTCACTAGTCAATTGAAGTCTAAGGGACTGCCTTCCTAAAATACGAGATGTACTCTTGTACTTACTTTTGTACAAAACCTAATAACAATGCCATACAATGTTACCCTGTGCCCCGACGAGAGGTAAATTGAAGAAATAACTAACCAAAAAACTAAAATTTAACCGAAAAACTGCATTTGTGGTAGTTAAAATTGGGTATGATTTGAGATGAGTGTCCCTAGTCAATCATCTTTTTATCTTAACTTGTTAGCCAAGTTAACCGTTTTTACCTTTTCAACTTTTCCATCCGGAAACAAAGAAACATTTTCCGCTAAGATGCAGATTTTTCGGTTATAAATTATAGACTATCTTTCCAAAGGTTCCTCAAATTATTTTGGGGGGGAGAGGCCATCTTTCTATTTACCTATAACTGATATGTTTCTTTCTTGCCTTTCAATCGAAATTTTGTATTTTTTTCTGACAAAAAATATGAAATTCTTCAGCGTAAAAGTGATAAAATAACTAAAACAAATTAGATAAATCTATCTGTCAAGATATTTTTTATTTTTCCGTTTCAACTCAAGCTACGGCTTTTCTTCTGGGTTCTTGAGCCGGAAACATTTCCCTGTACCGCTACCCAAGGATTGCAAGGACTTTCTTTGGAAATTCGAGGGTACGTTTCCCTAAAGGCTTCGTAAGGGAATATGTAGTGCCAGTTATCGCCGCCTTTCCACTCGCCAACTTTGTAACCTGAGAGAAGTGACAAATGACAAGTTGTCAACAAACGTTTGTGCAACGGTGAAACCATTCGTAGCCTATTGCGGCGCGATTTCAACTTTCTAGGAGTTTTAAAAAAACTCTTTATATACGAGTCAGAACCACCTGAATCATTATAAGAATTAAGGTGGCTCTGACCCGTATGTGTAATTTTGTGATAAAAAGAGGATCACATTATTTGTCAAAGAAAAAATGATCACAACTTATGAACCCAGGGCCGTAGTTAGCATGAGGCAAGACGAGGCAATTGCCATTCCATTCCTTAGGTGAAAAACCTTCACATAAAGAGTCTTGGATCGCTTAGGTTTGTTTTCTCATGTTGATTTAATTTTGGCACGTGAAACGAATACTCACCAATTTTAAATGAATTATTTGGGTTGTCAAATGTCTATTTGATTCAGACTGTTTCACAAAATAAGAGAATCTATGATATGCACATAGCAAACGTGATTATATCAAAGTTTTTTCTTAGTTATAGAAATCGGCAACGCCAGAATGCAGCCAACTCTCCATAGCAAGTTGCTATTCACTTCAAGACCTCTTAATATCAGGTTGCTCCACACACGGGTGAGTTTTTTTAATTGGCATTTTGTTTTGTATAGTTGTGAGTGTTGCGGTCATGTTAAGTTAACAAGGCCTTCGACGCTGAGTAGGCCTCACATGTTTGAGTCGATGCACTTTACTAGGAGGGAGCAAAGCTATAATTGTGTTATTTTTAGGTAGGAAACTACGTACTCCAACATATTTGGAGGGAGTTTTATGAACTTGAAAGTGCAACGAGATGTATCTTAGTGTGATAACTACATTTTGTGACTTGTGAAGATAAACTTTGGTTAAGTTAATAGGTAACGCGAGTGAATTAAAATACTACTGGCCCTACTCAAATTCAACTTATTTACGAATATTCTACGTTAGAATTTGAAACTCGTTCCCAGACAGGTATCAGCAAGAGAGTATCGTTTCAAGAGCTCTTATGGTGTGCAGTCTTCTAAAAAACGAACCCTTCTTTTAGCGAAAGGAAGGAACATTTGGTTCTCAGTCATAAAATGAGTGATTATGGCTGTAAATACAAAATACGGTAAAGGGTAACATCAAATAGGGAAAATTAGTTTGAACTGATTTGATGCACGTTTTGAAACGTAGAAAACCGGAACACATTCCAATCTAGAGATCATTTATGCAACCCGAGGCCTATTAGTCTCAATTTAAACACACAAAAATCAAGAGCAGCAGAAAAACAGGAAGTCATTCCAGGGATTGTTCTAAAAAAAGTCTTTCACCAGTGAAACAAAGAGAAGAGATAAGCGCTGACCACGAAAAGGAATTAAACACTTCAACACTGGAACAAAAGATGCGATGACACAGCTAAGAAAATTATTCACTTAACTTTAGGGTCACAAGGAATTTGCAGAGTTCTTGAATGTTACGAAGATATGATTGCAATTTCACGAAAGTAGAAAAATATAAGCTAACATACGAATTCCAAAAGTTCTCTCGGTATAAACTACCAAGAGATTTGTTACATTCATCCTGAGCTGAAGGACTTAGTCGTTGCTCGATGTGTATGTGACGTAATGTGTTTTTTGCCTGTAGCAAAACTCAATAAACTTTTTCTTGTGTCGCAATGTCTCATACAGATCACTTAAATCAAAAGAACCGGTTGTCATCAAAATTGGAACGTAAAAGTTCCCCATTGAAAACTTTTAGATGACTTGTCAGATATTGTCTTGCGGATGTTTGAGTTGAAAATGTTGAGCTCCCTTTGCAGAGATTTCGCAAATTTCCTGGATGTAGAGCCGAAACGATATCTCTCGCATCAACTCATTTCACTAAGAAAAACATTTGAGAGACGAAGGGAGTGAAATACAGCGAAATTCTTGGTTAGTCACTTAGAGGCGTGCGGTGATTGAAACGCGTTTCAAGCAGCAATTGTTTTCTAATTGGTTGTTTTTCGGTCCAAACAAAGGATTTTACACCGTTGGGCTCAATGACTTGTTAAGCAAAAGTATAGATACCGAGTCAAGGGTCAAACGTGTTCCATCCTGTTTTATATTTGCTCCGCGTTGATCACAAACCTCTTGGTGTCATTGAGTGTCTGGTTCGATTTATATGAATAAAAACTATCCTTTGATTAAAAAAGACCTTCAGACAATGTCGCTTAAACCTGTTTTAGTTTGTTTTCTCACATTAATTTAAGTTTTTGCAACTCAAAACAAATAATCGACAATTTTAAACGCAATTATTTGGGTTGTCAAAGGTTAGTTTGTTCCACATAGCCTGCAGAGCAGGCGTAATTTTGGCTAGCGAGTGCGAAGTAATTTCATAACGAATATTATGGCCGCCATCTTTGATTTTAATGGCAGCGGAAGGCTGGGGAGAGTGAAAATTTATACTAAGGGGGCGGTCGACGGTCAAAAATAAGGAGAGGGGTGGGGGTAGGGGTGTGGAGATTACTTCTACAAGTAGGAGCCCCTACGCAAAGTCTCTTACTCCCTTAAAAAAAGAACCGTCGGTCACAAAAAAATTTATTGTACCATGAAAGGGGTGATTATGGCCGTAAATTTCAAAGACCATAAAAAGGTATAATTACTGAAAAGGGAAAATGTTCGGAACCTGATGTGGTGCACGTTTTGAAAGCTAACTCACCGAAACGCGCTTCGATCTACAGAAAATTTTTTTTGTCTCAAGTTAACCCTTAACACTTCAATAAGAAACAAAATCCACCATGACACTTGTGATACAATTATGTACGAGTCACGACAAATGTGCATTTTTTGTCAGGTATGTTTCATGATAATTATAATAATTATAATTATATCATAATTATAATCATAGTGATAATTATAATTTCACTGAAGTAGAAGATTAAAGCATAACTTAAAAATTGCACAAAGTCTGGAAAAAAATACTAACAGATATGCATGTTATCTTCATTCAATACAATACTCGTTGGAAATACGTTGTCGTTACTCGCTAATCAATTTAAGTCTAAGGGACTGCCTTCATAAGTTCAAATACGAGATTTTTTTTGTACTTGTAGCAAAACTTAATAACGATGCCATAAAATGTTACACTGTGCCCCAACGAGAGGTAAATTGAAGAAATAACTAACAGTGAAATTTGCACGTAGAACTCTCACAACCGAAAAATTGCATCTGTGGTAGTTACAATCGGGTATAACTTGGCGTCCCTAATCGATTAGCTTCTACCATCTTTTTATCTTAACTTGTTAGCCAAGTAAACCATTTTTATCTTTTTCAACTTTTCCATCAAGAAACAAAGAAATATTTTCTGCTCAGATGCAGACTTTTCGGTTATAAATTATGGACTATATTTCCAGAGGTTCCGCAAATTATTTGGGGGGAGAGACCATTTTTCTATTTACATTTTAACTGATGTGGAACTTTTTTTAACCTTTCGGTCGAAATTTTGTATTGTTTTCTCTGACGGAAAAATATGAAATTTTTCAGCGTAAAAGTGATAAAATATGTAAAACAAAATAGGTTAATCTATCTGTTAAGATATTTACTTTTCCTCTGCCTGAACATCGCCTCTTTGTGAAGCTTGTTAGACTTCATTTTCTGCGGAATCGGTCGAGAAATACTTCAAGCCACGGCTTTTCTTCTGGGTTCTTGAGTCGAGAACATTTTTCTGTACCGCTACCCAAGGATCGCGAGGACATCCTGTGGAAATACGAGGGTACTTTTTCCTAAAGGCATCGTAAGGCAATATGTAGTGCCATTTATCGCCGCTTTCGCCAACTTTGTAACCTGAGAGAAGTGACAAATGACAAGTTGTCAACAAACGTTTGTGCAACGGTGAAACCATTTGTAGCCTATTGCGGCGCGATTTCAACTTTCTAGGAGTTTTAAAAAAACTCTTTATATACGAGTCAGAACCACCTGAATCATTATAAGAATTAAGGTGGCTCTGACCCGTATGTGTAATTTTGTGATAAAAAGAGGATCACATTATTTGTCAAAGAAAAAATGATCACAACTTATGAACCCAGGGCCGTAGTTAGCATGAGGCAAGACGAGGCAATTGCCATTCCATTCCTTAGGTGAAAAACCTTCACATAAAGAGTCTTGGATCGCTTAGGTTTGTTTTCTCATGTTGATTTAATTTTGGCACGTGAAACGAATACTCACCAATTTCAAATGAATTATTTGGGTTGTCAAACGTCTATTAAACTCTTTACATACGGGTCAGAACCACCTGAATCATTATAAGAATTAAGGTGGCTCTGACCGGTATGCGTAATTTTGTGATAGAAAGAGGATCACATTATTTGTCAAAGAAAAAAATGATCACAACTCAAGAACTTATTTTAAGCATTTTTTAATACTATTTCTCAGGTAACAAACGAAAAAAAGATAGGTTTTACCATTCATTACACATTTCTTTGTCGGAAATTCTGAAAGCATTTTGAGCCACCTTTGGGCCAGGATATACTTAGAGATAATTTAGTTCGTCTGACATGAGCAGTTTTTGCAAATGTTTTTGCCTCTGTGACAGGATTTTGTTTAAGAACAAGGCGTGTCCAGAGAACTTTAAAATGAATGAAGTAAAAAGGGTGAATGCTTCTTTCAGCTTCAGAGAAATCAAACTGAAAACGGTATACCAAGAGATTTTAATTTTCCCTGCCTGTCACTCGAAATAGTTTTGACGACAAGTTAGCCGGTTATGTCCCTTGTAAAAAACACAACAAAAAGCAATTTAAAGCACTTCGTTTAAGAGTTAACTATTTCCTTACCTTCAAACATTTCCTCCACTTTTTTCTTTCCTATATTTTCTGGAATTCCATCTTTATAAAGAGTAACTTTTTCATGATCTTTTTTACCGTGTTTAGTCACTCTCGGAACTTCGTCGAGGTCAGGGTCTTTTCCAAGACCTTCCATCCTTTCTTCAAACGCCTTCTCCCCGTTCATACGTTTTTTAAACGTCATCTGCGCGCTCAGGGCCTCTCTTCTTTCATACGAATAGAGATCTGCAGAAGAAAAGGAAGTATATCAGTTTTCTTGGAAATAGAGCTTGTCAATTTTTTACACAGAAGCAACTTACTTTCCATGAGGAGATTGTCTTTAAGGTAACAACGCTTCCAGATTATCATTACAGTTCCGATAGCAACAAGCGTGATCAGTATGACCCATGCCCATAAATGTGATTGGCTCTTACTCTCGTCTACCATCCGCTTCCGGTCCAAAACGACGTTTTCGTGTTGCTTCATCTCTTTCTGTGGAGAGGGGCCAATCGTGGCACACAGATAATAATCTTCTTCGAGAAAGGCGACAATCAACCACACTGCCGGTCCGACACAAGCTTTTAGGATACTTGGTAAAACCCCAGCGGTAAAGTCGCCACGTCTTCTGTAGCGTTTCACGTGCCTCCGGGAAGACAGCTTCCATACCTCGCCGATGACCAAGAGGTTTATGCAGAACAGGATTAGAACAGGGCCGAATAGGAACGCGAATCCATACCGTCGATAGCCATTGTCAGGACAGTGGAATACTCCGGCGTTCAAAAGTCTTTCCAGACCGTAGGTTGAAGCAGCGACAACAACGTTTCTGAGAGTTATAGTATTGTTTTGAATCACTGGGTTGAAAGTCCTTTTAAAACTTTCGAGCTTGAAGTATTTCTTCAAAAAATTTAGGCCACTCTGTGTATCATTTTCTCTCTTCAGTTCATTTTCTCCTTCGCTTTCCCCAGCTTCCAAATCTTTTGAAGTTTCAATTGTACCTTTTACCTGAGCGTTTACAGCAGCCATAAATTCATTTATCACAGCTAATTTAGTGATTTCCCTTGCAAAATGCTGAGCCTAAAACGTTCGAACTCTTTAACTTCGATCGATAGAATGATCTGCCGTATTTTATTTACCTAATATCCGCCTCGATCCTTTTATTTACCTTGTATCCGCCTCGATCCTCATGCGTTTTGTCACATGATTTTTCTTTCAGTTTCTATGAAGCTTTATTTCGGGAAAAAAGATAATGTACCCTTTTTTAGTTTGACTTTAATGTGTACACCATATCCAGCGATTTGAAATTTCAGTTTCACTCATCAATCTTGTCAGATCACCAGACTGTTCAACAACCCACCACAATATCAAAAGTAAACACATTCCACTTTTTTGTTACGTCGTAACAATGATTGCGGGGATTCATAATTCTTCGTAGAGCAAGGAGGTTTCTTCGATTTGTGTGTGCACTTTTTACTTTTTACTGATATAAATTAGTGATCCGATTCCCCTTCAAAACCGCTGTAGGATTTGACGGTGATCTTGGCATTTCAGGGGTTATTGGTCAGTTCTAACTTAAGAGTTCCGGACGTCTTAGTTGTTCTGTTGTGTTGATTTGCGTAAGCATTCGAGCTCCCGCAACTTCCGGCTTGAATTGAGAGCAGCGAAAGTAAAGGCATAGAAAGTGGACGCCTGCTTGATTATTTTTAGACTTTTAAAGTGATCAAATGGATCATGATTTATAAAGACGTCTTTTTTTTTTCAGGTAACGAAGAACCTGGATATTTATCTGCCTATTACTGAAAAATAAATAGCAATATGTGCTTTTTGATTACTTTAAAATATACGTTCGAGAATTTTTTCTTTAGGACATTTTGCTTTATTGGTTTAAATATATTGATCAGTTAAAGTTGTTTCAAGTTTTTTTTTCCTTTTCAGTCAGATTTTGATTGCACTCGGATTCTCACGTTCTCTTGTAATTTTTAAAAACTTGGAAAACGAAATTTTAGAGCACATCCTAAGGGATCATAACAAGTCATTTTGACGTTTAGTTTTTAAAAGCGTGACGAAAAATTTCAAATTAAACAGATTTCAGGCTGAGTTTCGAAACGTGACAATCTAAATGCGGAAAAAAATTACATCTGCATACGTTGTTATAGATAAAATAATATTTTTAATGTTTATATTTTCGTATTTACTGCCAGCGTCAAATTTTTTTTAACGCAGCATCAGATTTTTTTTTAAGTTTTTTAAAATTTTTACAAATTAGATTTTTAAATGTCTCGTCAAAATTATTTCCAAACTTTTTTTTCGGAATATTCAGTGCGTTATCACATTTTTCTTTTAGAACACGGCATAATACCGGGAATATTTTAAAGATGGAAAATGGCAACATAACCTTAGTTTGCGGGTAATTTGCGTCCGTAAACTAGCCAGAAATGACTCCCAGCCAAATCGACCTTGGGTTACCAGACAGCTTTATGTAGTACAGGAAATCTGTAAGAGACTGTTTTGTACAGGTTATTGTAGAGGTGTAAGCCTTGTATTGACGAGCCGGATCATTCACGGATTAAGATGACATAAATTTAAAATACTGATATCCTTGTTTGGTAATGGTAAAATGTGTTAGGGTAATTCCCTTGAAATTGTTCTATCATCAACTTCTTTTGAAACTTGGTATAATTAACATTCATGATATAAACATTAAAAAAATGCAATAAAAAAATGGGGTCACCGTGCTTGTTTACGCGTCAGCAGGTTCTTAAGATGGGGTATTTTTACTGGTTGCGCGTTAAAAATTCGAATCACCTTCATACAGAATTTAGCCTTGGTAACTTGAAGGACACAAAATTTTATTTTGAAATTAAAGCTTCTTTTATTAAGATAAAAAGTATTGCTTCATGCTACCTGTTTCTGATTGCCTGGTTGTGGGGATTTTGCACTTTCTCGGACAGTTCCGTGGTTAGCTTGAAGTCCTCGCCTTTGTCAAAATACGCCAAGTACGGAACTATTTTAAAAAAAAATCATGTTCTACTATCAACATTTTTTCCCTATTCAAATATGTTCTTTATTAGAATGTTCTTAGCAAATACCTGAAAAAAAAGTCGGGTGTCACCGTGCTTGTTCCCTCACAAACTGCCGTGAAAGGTGGACATGGTTTTGAGAACGCAGTCAGGATGGAGAATTTGCGCGGTGAGGACTGGGACGAGACACAAAATGGCGCCCATCGTGTTCGAGGTATGCACTTGATATCAAGCTTGCTTTCGGTTGTTTTTATGTGTTTGATCTTGCTAACACTGAAATTCATACTTGGGAAGAGTAAAAAAATAATAAAGAATGAGGTAAGTCAAGACTTGATGAGATTTTGAAGTTATGAACCTTTAGTTGAAACAATTTTGTTGCGCTGGCGTTTTGTTAATTCCAGTGAGCTAAGGTTCGATTTTGTTTGCTTTGGGGCAATAAAGGCTCGACAAAGAAACTTGTAGAAAAGACTGTTGATTCCTATTCTTTTTATGTCTTCTTGTTTGGTTTCTACGCACAGCAAAATGTGAATTCTTCTCCCATCACTCTAACAGGAGTGAATATATACAGTATAATGTAGTATACTCTGAAAAATACAAATTGTACTTTTAAAATTTGCTTTTTATACTTCAGAACCACACTTCAATGTCTCATTGGTCCTCATTGTGACTACTACATTTCCCATGCAAAAATGATTTTCAAACTTTTTACATTTTGTTCGACTTTCATGCTTTAACATGTCACTAAATTAAGTTAATCCTCTTGGTCGTTGGTTCCACAGAATCGAATTGAATTTAATATTAATATAGACCCTTTCAGAATTACTGTTTGCATTTTTGTTTACAACCAAACCAACAGAGTAAATATTAGTTTTACAAAACATTAATTGCACAAATCGCAATCTTAATTTGCTTTATTTATAAAGTACTGACATATTTGTGCCAGCACCTGCTTGTTTGAGGAGACTCTGGGTTTGTTGTCAAACCTCTCCATCAGAACTTGATTCACCCCTTCTTCCTTGCCTCTTTGGTACACCACTTGTAGGTGATGGAGACCCAAACCTGAGCTTGCACACTTAATGGCCATAGAAGCTGAAATGTACTTCTCTCTAACTAATGGCTGCAGTGTATTAACCAGAAGTTTCTTTTCTTTTAGGAGCTTCTGATAAGATGCCACCCATGAAACTTTGAAGCTGTGCTTTTGTAGCAGTTTGACATTTATAAACTCGTTCACCAGCTGGTAGTGTTTGCACATCTGCAAGAGCATTGTGAGCTTCATAGGATTTACGCAGAAGATCTTGTGCAAGGTTTTCCTGGCTATGGGATTTCCTTTCAGGAAGCAATTCCCTGAATACTGGAAGAGAGTCTGCAAAGCCAGAAACGGTTTTAGCTAAGTCATCCATGACTCCATTTTTCTCTGCTGCTTGCACCAAGAACCCTGCATCAAAGGATTTGCAATTGTGTGCGACTAAAATGCAAGGCATTCTTGATTTGAACCACTCAATGAAGTTCTTCAGGGCCACATCAATTGCAATGGCATCAGAGATTGGCTTCTCATCATGAAACAGCATTCCTCTTTGGAAGGTGAGTTTGTTCACAGCAGATGCTTCTGGTGATATTACATGACAAGGCTTGACATAAATATAGAAATCATCTTTACCATCTGTTGCTGCAATTTGTAGGATTTCAGCATCATTACCTGATGTTAACAAAGATAAACAAATTTTAAGATATTGTAATCCAATTATTACTTTACTAAGATATCACATGGAAAAATGTAATATAAAAGCTTAGTGCATCTATGCAGGTTATATCTAAAATAAAAATAGGAGTGATTACTGAATACCTGTCCTGCTAATTTGCATCTCACCCATTTTCTTTAAGAACAAGGCATAATAAAACAAAGGAATCTATGTGATGCAAATTAGCAGGATGAGTCTTCAGCAATCTAGCAAAATAGAAAATCAATTCCTTGATTAAATATAATTATTCTCTAATGTGCAATTCAGAAATACCCTGCTAAGACAAACATGGCTATATTCACTTTGTTACTTTTTTGCTGAACTCCACCCTGCAAAGCTATTACCCCTTCTAGATGTTTCCAAATCAAATATGATTTGATGGTAGTCTTTGGTTAATGATATTTTCTCAATCTTTGAGGCTGCAAGTGGTGCTGGAATTTCCTGAGCGGCATCATGTCCATCAAAGCCCATTCCAGAACTATATCGTTGTCCTTCTTTGTTCTCAAGCTGTTTTGTCTTTTTCAACCGCTTCTCTTTCTTCTCAATTCTTTTCTTCTTGTATTCTCTTGTTTTCTGTTTCTCTTTCAAAGTTCTTTTGGCCAACAGCACATGCAACATGGAAGTCATTGCTTTCACTAGATCTGTAGTGTCTGATCTTTGGAGCTTTGCTTCCTATAGTGTTGTTGAGTGCTTCATTTGCCTGGCTCGACCCAAGGGGAGCTAGCTTCATGGCATTTGAAGCATAAACCTAAATTGAAGAAGCAAATGGTTTTTATTTACTAAAATTTGGTATCTCATAAAGCTTGTGAAACTAAGAAAGAGGTTGATAGTCCCCCTAACACTTATAGCTTTATCCCTTGCAGTTATTATTTAGAATACAATCATAAGCACTAACACTATTTTCTTAGAGTTGTGTTCCTCTACTATATGTAAAATGGTGGGAATTGGGAATTTGTGAGGAGCAAGCTGTGCCACCATACATGTACACTGTACTTACTTCTATGATCTTTTCCAGGGACTGCCTCAAGCTTTTGCCTGTCAGATCCTTGCCATGGGGAAGGCCTCTGTGTTTGTAGGATGCAGGATTTTTTAAGTAGCCACACCAGTTGCCACAGGAAGAATGGTCATCATAAGCATGGGGCACGATAGACTTCAGACCACTTCACACACCTTCTTCATCATCCTTATTCTGCTTTAGTGCGTAACCAAAGCATTGCTGGAAATACCATATCACCATATCTGTCCAGCTTTTGTTTTGGGTCTTTATGCTGTATAGTGAGCTACCAAAGGATCTTTTAGCATGGACTACGTCTGACCATGTTTCAACCTTGTGCTCAACATTTTTCCTCACTTTTCTTATTGTGGATGAATTATCATCCCCAACAAGAACAAATACAACTGCATTTTTTTCTCCACAACTGTTAAGCAGGGTAAAACCACAAAAATAACATTTTGTGCTATAAAAAGTGAGGGTGCTCAAACTACACATAGGCATTATCTTAAAGTATTTTATTTTCTGCGTTTTTAACATACTCATATTCAAAAATATAGGTGCATTTTTATGTTTGCTTTCTTGTCAAATTTTCAGTCATTATTACCAAGGGTGTAAGGTACTGTAAGACTTTCCACTGTTCATGGTTCAAGTATCAATACTGTAACACTGATATCATAACAACAGATTCCACAAGTCTCTCTTTGGAGCAATAAAACTGTGAATTTAACATGTTAACAACTATTATTATAATTATTATTTAATTTTTATTTTTATTATTACATACCTGGTTGGTAATTACCTTTTGACTAGATCAACACAAACATCAGCTTCCATAGCTTTTGATGAGCCTTCCCAGTTGAGCCTGCAGTCATGTATGCGAGGCTTTTTTGACTGTCTGCTGGCAGTTTCACATGTTGCTCACCTTTACAATAGACATTATGGGTAAACGTCCTGGGTAACACTTTCAAGAGGAGACAAATATGGGTGCTGTAATATGTTGAATGATTCTGTACCTTTTGTGGTCAAATTGAAAAAAAAAAAAACATTGCTCTTGTTGTTTACAACAAGGTACAAGAAGACAAAATATATACATTACCTTTTTGACCTTGAACCATAGCAAATCACCTTGCCAGTTTTCAGGCCAACCATGGAGCCAACACCTAATGGTGAAATAAGGATATATTTTATTTATTTATGATTTATTTATTTATTTATTTTAGTAACTTTGACTATTGGCTGACACCAAAACTGTCAGTAAGCTAAAGAACAATCCACAGAAAAATTAGCAGCTTTCTATGAAAATGCATATCCAAATGCACCCTTTTCAATTCTTTCAGATTTAGAACTTGCAGTGTACCTGTCAGGCTATTGTGGGCTTTTCCCCTTTTTTGCCATCCCATGTCAAATGACGCTCCTATCGCCACATTTTCCTTTTCACTATCCTCTTTCCACAAGTTTCGCTTTCTAAACTTTCCAGACATGATTCCTTTGCCAACTTTTCAATTTGGGGCCTTACTTCCCTCTCGCGAGCCTTCAGCGTGGACTCTCCAAGTGATGGTACATTGATAGATGACAACAACTCGTTTACGTGGGTAGGACCTATGCCTACGTGTAGCATCCCTATAAATAATTCGATTCAACTTATTAAAAAATTGGCTAGACATTAAATGGATGCTTTAATTGCGGAAAAAAATATTTTTGGCAATATTAAATGTAAACAAACCTGCAGCGAACTTCGTGTTGACATCAAAGATTGGTCTCCCTCGTGGTGTTCCGATGCTACGGTGGGTCTTATTTGTTCGACAGATATTTGTCTCTCCACACTCGGAATTTGAACAGCATATGTAGAGTAGTGATCCTAGCCCAGTCACTGTTTCTTTTATGCAGTCGGAGAGCCGTAGAGCTGCCCCACAGGCTTCACAGCCCCCGTCCAAAGCCTCAGCGAGGACATTTAATTCTACAACTCGACGGCCGCGAAGTGGAAATCCACTGCAGACTTCCGGATCACGCACATCTTTTTCATTTTCTTGTCTTTTGAAAGCAGACCAGGAAGCTTTCAGCCGATTTGCGGCATTCTTATTTCGCTCTGCGAAAGCGGCCATTGTCTGTTCTTTCCACGCTAGCGGGAAGAACAGCCACCATCTTGGATGTCGCAATTAATGTTATGCGCAGGAAAGGTCGCGCAGTGCTAAACAAGGGAATCACCTTAACCACAATGTAGGTCTGAAAGTGCAAAGAGGTAAATTCAGAGTGAGAATCCCCGACTTAGACCGGTCGAATTTCAAAAGATGGCTGACTTACTGCTATTAGGGAACATTTTCTTCGTCTTGTTTTGTGCCACAATCTGTTGACTAACTTTCCGACATATTTTGGCGTTTAAACTTTCAAATGTTGAAACTGAGTTTGCCATCAGTTGTGACCCCCACAACTGATGACAGTTGAGACTCGTAGCTAAATTAGTATCCCTCTAATCTAGTAGGTCTACCCTAATTCAATTCCTTACACTTCTGGCCCTGTTCTCTCGTAGACGCATCTATACAACCTGCGAAGGAAATTGTACTTCCACGAACAGTAAAACACTCTGATTGTTTCCTTCACTACCTGTCTCACTTCAACTATCTTTCAGCAGTTAAGAAACGGGTCTAGGGTCAGTTAAGGGAAACAAAAGACCCAGGTAACCTCGAAGGTACGACTATGAAGAATTACTCACAAAAACTGTCTCTGGACCATATGGTATATAACAGATAACTAATTTCAATTGCAACCGCATTCCACTGAACTCTACTTATGTTTATTAGATTCTGCTGGTTTGATCGCTGCTGAACAAGATCTTGCACACGATTACGATGATGACTGAGGTCGACGGAAATCTCTATGTAGACTATGTAATGAAGTTGTCGAGCACAGAGGTACAATAATATAGTCAGAGGCAAAGGTAATACGTTGATATACTTGATAAAACCGCACATTCGTGGACGATTCAACCTAAAATACTACCACAATTTGATATGTTCGCTTAAAGTTTACAACTTGTTTGTGTATCTTTTCCCAAACAAAAGGATACAAAGTCTGTCCTCACTCCTAGCAGTCAGCCTCAACACAGACAAAACTGAAGACCAGTGATGTAGCTGTAATCAAACTGCATCATTTGCGTATCGATAAAGATTTGGGTCTTTAAAGAAGGGAAAACCAATAAGTAGCAGTTAGGGGGCTGGATAAAGACACCAACGAGGAAATAAGTTGTAACCAAATAACAAAGTAGGAGTTTATAAGAGAATGAAGGAAAGATTCCTTGTGAAGGATATCAAGGATAAGAGGATTCCCCCGAATTGCAGAGACAGAAAACGATATCGGCTTCATCGATGTAAATAGAATACAGGAGAACATTGATTTATTTTCTCTTTTAGACTACTTGAGTGTGGTGGCATATCAGTCTCTCCTTCAGATGTTTCTTCTGAATTCCACCTCTTGTGAAGTTTAACCCGCCACCTCCCAACAATTTGGTTAGTCTTCGTTTAAAGGAGAAATGCTTTATCTGCGACACTCACCTTGCATCGTTTCAACAGTGTACATGTGTGGCCTGTTAACCTCCCCGTGGGTGTAAAGTATATTGATACAAACCACTTTCTGGGTTGTCCATAACTTTATGAAAAAGTCAAAGTTTTAAGCAGATCATATTTTTTCTTAAAGGAAGCGAATCTGGCTTACTGTAGGCCAAACAAAGGGTCTAAAGAAATAAGTTAATATAAATCATCAGTGTAATGATGCATATGACAAAAATAAAGCCTCTATAGATAAAAGAGACACTTGAATAGACACCATTTCGTTCTTACAGCAGGTGTTCATGAAAAATATTTCTAACCTCTTCCTGCATTTCCTAAATATTTAACAGCTATTTAACATAATTTGAGATCTGGAAAAAAAGGTAGAAATTTGCAATCACCCCTCTATACTCCGGTTTACAGCTTACATGCGCTATCAGATGTACTCCTCGTGAGTGAATGATCAACCACATCTTCATGACAAAGTGAAAAGTGATTTTTAAATTTCATCGTCTTAATTCTTAAGCCGGGTGGAAATAGCTTTCGATAAATGCATTGCTATTATACCAAAATTGTAAGGTGTTCTCGTTAAGAGTGGAAAGAAGCGCGTCATTTTTAAACCCGCATGAATTGGGTCTTAAACTGAACAGTTAGATCAAAGCTCTTTCGAGTCTCTTGGAGTAGCACATCAACCTCGGATGAAAACGGTATTCACCGATGGTCTTCGAAAGGCAAAACTACGTTGCAAGCGATGATATGTCGATTCAAAGCTGACCTCCAATCGTGGAAAGCGTGAGCGATGTTCGATGCTGTCTATTGTGCGCATGACCAAACGAAGTTTTGGGTGACGGCTTTTCTAGGGAGTCATAGGACAGGGATCGTATTCCTCTTATGTAGCATCGCAGATACAACAATCTAGGATTAAAAATTTAAGTAGTAATTTATCTTTTTTTTTGGTAAATGCGACTGACTCGGAACTGAGAGAATCCAGAATTTGGTTAAAAACATTGTGTAAGTTACATAAACAATTGCCTCCATTTGGCGCGAAAATATGCACAGGTATTTGTCCAAGGACAAATACATGAACATGTATTCGCGCAAAATAGAAGCTATTGTGTTTATCATCCTTTAAATATTTTGCAACACGCAAAATGTTTACGAACAGCTTACTGTTTGCTGCGTGAGATGTTTTCTTTTTGCAAAGTGTTCTCTTGTATGACTTTATGAACAAACAAATATTTCCCTTCTTCTAAAAACAACCACTAAACGTTGTCATCTTGAATGAAATTTTTAACGAAGACTTATCGTAGTGGACGTAAGGTTTGAAACTTGGGGATATCACTGGGGTGATATTCTCGGTTATCCCCCAATTTTAGCTGGGGACATTCGGTCACGTGATGGGTTTAGACCAATCGCGCGCGATTTGATGGATCATAAAGAAAGATTTCGGTGCCTCACAAACGCCGAAAATTACCTCTAGGGATAATCGGTGTGAATAAGTGCAAACCATTGCGTAAATAAGGGAATTTCAGGAACAAGGATATTTCCGAAACAGTAAACAATGCCGAACTCGTACTTTCCAAAAAGTGAAACAACTCAGAAAAGGGCCTCTAATTCTTTCAAGGTATCAATAAAATAACCCTCGAATGCGCCTCGGGTTTGCTTTCCGAGAAGTTTCCCCAAGCTCTTTGTGCTTAGCAGGTAATTTAGTGTTAACAACTGGGTTGAAAACGTAAATTAGCCACCGTAAAGGGTATAAAATACTCTCCCACCGACGCAGCACCACAGTTTCTTTAGAAACTTACCCCTTTACTCTTTGTGCTTAGTCCCTAAAGGTATGCAGGTAAGATTTTCAAGGCTCAAGGGTTTTAAATTTTTAGCTGATACTACGGAACCTCTGAACATATCTTAATTTCTCGATCTTTAATAACACGTTCGTCCTGGTCCTGGGGCCGGTATAAAGTGTGTATTCCCCTCAAAAATGAAGTTAAGTACGTACCTGCCAAACGCTCGGATGCATAAAATGTTTGTAATAACCGTCTTAAACGTGCAAACATGCATGCAACTCTTCCTCTGAGACGATCTTAATTTAGCATTGGCTTTACGTTTAAAAACAAAAATATGATATCTTCTTTTCAGAAGATAAAAGTTCTGATCGTTCTTTCTTTTTCCTTATCGGAACTTA